AGTCGTTGCATAACAATCAGCGGCTATGAGAGATTATAATCGAAAACATAACCTCTCTTGGACGTTATGAGTAGTGATTGTTAGTACTGTAATTAAAAAACGGTCCAAGGTAAAGGTAGTGTACGCAACTCGCGTAATAAGCCTTTAAGACTATCTTTACGCGATCGTTGCGTAAACTACTATTAAAAACGTTGCCTTTGAAAAATGAGGAAATTCTCTTAAAAAGTTGTGTTAAATAATATCGCATGTGGCTTTGCGCCGTAAACGTCTAGTCTACTTCCCAGTCTAGTCTACTTCCCAGTCTAGTCGACTTCCCAGACTAGTCTACTTCCCAGTATTGCGGAGTAATATCATAGATTTATCTATTTAGATCTATGGTAATATACTGTTGTGGAATAATGGGGTAGTAGCATCAATTTGTTATCTGACTAATTAATTTTGTTAATAATACGTTAACAACAATGAAATGACATCCATAACGACGGATGTGCGTGTGCGTTTTTAAATTGGTCGCAATTCATTAACTTAAGCGAGCTAGTTTTGAGGAGAGACAATTTCTAGACCACTTGGATAATCCCCGTAGGATTTTTGTGATTTCTTTCCATTTTAAGTATCTTCATGGTATGACCAGAGTATTTTTAAATCCTATAATATCCTGGGGTCCAATAGGTATGTCACTAGCATTTTGTCCTTACTTGAAAACAAACATCTGAGGTACTTGCAACTGAGGATTAGTTTGTTTAACAAGTGTTTAAACCATTTTGTTGGGATTCTTCATATGGGTTCTATTTTATTTAGGCTACTCAGTTCCCATTGTTGCTGGTAACATCCATTGGTTGCAAAAAGTATCGTACATAACCACAGCCAACTCTACATAACGCAACTAACCCGGAACGTGCAAATGATACAGTACAATAAAGGTGTGGTTAAAGAATACCCCCGCCGCAGCATACCTGCCGACTAAGCGAATTTCCATTTGTCTGAACTGATTTTCAATTTAAATCTACTTAAATAACATTAGGTTTAACAAGTACCTAGGTTTGCTGCTACAAGAAAACTAATTAAGCGAGTTTTTTAGTGAAATATTAATAGCTTAGTATAAAAGAAATAAATTGGCCAAGTTTAATCCAAATTTATCAATAAACAAGCAAACTACATCATTTTACAATATTCTCCATAAGAATAACATGGGAATTTTAAATTTACAATTTTTGGAATTTTCTCCGTTACCAATAACCGTACAAAAACACTTTGAGTAGTTATAAAACACGGGTTCTGGCACAAAAGGGTTCCAAACAATGCTAGGTATGACATACCCAACAATGCTACCTATGACATACCTACCATGTTAGACATACCTAGCATGGTAGACATATGGAGCGGTGTACACCGCGCGAAGGACACCATGTAGTGTAACTCGGGAATGACTACACTACATAGTGTAACAATGCTAGGTGTGACGTACCCAACAATGCTAGGTGTGACATACCCAACAATGCTACGTATGACATACCTAGCATGATAGACATATGGAGCGGTGTACACCGCGGGAAGGACACCATGTAGTGTAACTCGGGAATGACACCATGTACTTTTGTCAAAAATGACACGGGTTCTGGCACAAAAACGGGTTCTAGCACAAAGTCACGTGACTAGCCAATGCAATCAAGTACATTTATCAACATTTGATTGATCGATTATTATCAATAATCAATTGATAGTTGTTTATATACGATGACCAAGATTTACTCAAAGAGAAGCATTGTATGATTATTTTGAGGGTTATAATTAATATGTTCTCAGAGTTAATGTAAAACATACTAATTGTTTGGGTGCATCAACAGATTGCATTCCTAATTCATACTGCTTACAATCCAATATAGTTTAAATTGGTTAACACTGCTTCCACCAGTATTTATTTGCACACCACATCACCACTTTGGTTAATAATGATTATTACAATACATGGGAATATTGGCTCTGGTAAAAGTGTGTATTCTCAATCACTGTATAAAATCTTACAGTCATATGGTTATAAGGTTATTCTTTTTAAAGAACCAGTAGATGAATGGATTAATTTTAATGGAGAGAATTTGTTAAAACTATATTATGATAATAAAGAAAAGTGGGCTCTCCCATTTCAAATAAACACATTAATTGACATGATACATATTGAGTCAAAAGCTGTTCAGCTTTCAAAAGAAGGAAATGTAATTATAATGGAAAGATCTTCATTTAGTGTTCTAAACATATTTTCTGAATATTTAAGTAACAACATATTTCATCCTGCGGAAGTAACAATTATGCAAAATATAAAAAATAAAACACCTCGAATATTGGAGACATATGAAAATCATTTGGTCGTATATTTGAAAACAGATCCCGAGAGTTGCATTAATAGAATAAATATTAGAGGTAGGACAGAAGAAATCGAAAGGATACAATTGCAATATATTATTGATTTGCACAAACTTCATGAAGAACACTTTACATCACATACTTTTGGGAATAAGATTTTAATAATCGATGGAACTTCTTACAAGAAGGATTTTGTTGAACAAGCAAAATTAGTTGGAACCAGGGAAACAATGGTTGCACTTGATGAATTGAGTCATATCCTCAATAAGTGGAGCGCTTCCCTCGTAAACAATTAACCGCTTCAAAACAAACTTATTAAGCTTATTACCCGTTTGATTATATAAACTAGACCTAACTCAACTCGATAGTTGTTAGTTCACAACTAGCCGCGTCAGAGTACCTAGGCGTTACATCGCTTTTATCAAAGTAAGTACTGTGACTTCAAACTATTTTCTTTTTCTGTTAAACATCTAAAGAAATAAACTATTTTGCTTTTTTCTATTGTTTATAAAACTATAATGTAAAGCTTAAAGCTTTTTTGTTTATTTTTCAAATCAAACATATTTTGATTGTACTAATGTAACAAAATTGTGCACATTTAAAGTCACATTTATTGCGGTATTAAATTTTACTGTTAATGTTTTTTAAAACAATGTTATTTAAAATAAACCAACTTATTCTGAGCATTACTAACCATACAATGTTGTGTGTTTGTTTAAGCTTCCAATACGAACGAATCCTTTTGGTCCATTCTTTGGTGTTGTGCTCTCCCCATATTTGTTGAGATAAAAACAAAAGTAAGTGTATTTTAAAATTTTTATCACACTTTAATAAGTTATAACTTTGCATATGTTCTGTGATTCTAATTTCTGGCAATATCAATCTGTATTCTAATATTGAAGCATTCATTATGTAAAATAAATTACCAGTTTCACATCTGTTCAACATGAAATAGTTTAATAATGATTGGTTCAGTCTTACATGAATAGTTTCTTGGATTTTGAATTGAATAAAAGTAAACAGTTTAACAACCTATAAGAGTTATAACAATTGATTTAAATACTGAAATATATCACATTCTGTTCAACATGAAATAATTTAATAACGATTGGTTCAGTCTTACGTAAATAGTTTCTTGGATTTTGAATTGAAAAAAGTAAACAGTTTCACAACCTACAAGAGTTAAAACAATTGATTTAAATACTGAAATATATCACATTATTTTTTATTCCCTACATTGTTTAGTAATATGTTTCTTATTTTTGTTCTTCAGTCTCCCGTATACTTGAGAGTTGCACTAGAGCATCAGTCAACACCTTCCAGTGACCTTTCCGAGTTTTTTCAACGAGTCAACACCTTCGAGTGACTTCTCCGAGTTTTTCAACGAGTCAACACCTTCGAGTGACTTCTCCGAGTCTTCTTTTCACCTTTTTTGGAGATTTCTCATTTTGAAACTTAAGTAAGTAACGATGTCGTTCGTAAACATAGTATGTTCAATATTTAAAGATGAGTTAATTCTAATTGTATGATTTTTAACACATTATATGTTTATTTAAACGTTTTAAACTGGTTTGTTTAACAACAATGTAAAATACATCGTATGGATTAACTATCTACCTGCGACTTTTATTGGTAATATTTATAGATTAAAAAAAACGAACTGTTGCTAAATTACACTGGTATGATTTTTTAACATGTCATACGTTTATTAAATTGCTTTACACTGATTTGTTTAACATCAATGTAAAAGATATTGTATGGATTAACTATCTAAGTACATTTTTTGTTGCTGTTAATATTTATAGATCTAAAATAATGGAATGTTACTAAATGATTTAACTACACTAATATGGTAGTTCAATTATGGAACACTGCTTTATTATTACTCAGATTAGTACTAAAGATATTGTCTTTTTGTTACAGTTATGGATCCTGTTGAAATTGTTGATCTGAGTCAAGAAGTCACATCTGAACCTTGTCCGTCAACTAGTCACGCTTCACCTGGTATTGTTTACTTCACCATCTTACAACTTTTAGAAAATTTACACATCATAGGAATGAATAGCTTAGTTAAGTGGGGAAGGGTTATGGAGGGATTGAAAAATAAGGAAGAAATACTTACACATCCAGTGTTCACCCAAATGTACGGGTGTTTAAAACACTTCCACAAAGTGTTTTTCGATCATGTGCACGCAGATCCGACCATGTCACAAAAAGATGTTGAAAACCTTTCTTACCTAGAAATTGAATTCGATGATTTTTCTAATATTTGGTTGCCTGAAGTAGATAAACAGCACTTAAAAGACAAAAGGTTTTCTTTTGATCATGTTCAAAGATTTGGCAATCTTATACGTCAAATTTTGATGTTTAAAGACACTGTTCAGAAAACTAATAAGACCTCTGTTAAATCTTACGAAAATTGCAAACGCAAAGACTCTGACCAACAAAAGGTTTCTAAGAAATCTAAAAAAGAATATCATTCTTCATCTTCTTCATCGTCTGATTTGTCAGACAAGTCAGACGATGAAGATGTGGTCAAAACAAAAGAAGTTGTTGACTACACTTGAAAACAAATATAACTATGTATGTCATTACCGTAATTTAAAACAAGCCCTTCAAAATGGTCTTGTTTTAATAAAAATTCACAGAGTGTTAAGGTTTTATCAAAGTAAATGGTTAAAACCCTATATTGAATTCAATACTGAAAAAAGAAAACAGGCTACTAATGAGTTTGATAAAAATTTCTATAAGTTATTAAATAATGCTATGTTTGGGAAAACAATTGAGAATATTAGGAAACGAGTTTGTATAGAATTAGTTAGTAATGAAAAACGTTTGAATAAATTAATTTCCAAACCAACTTTTAAAAATAGAATAATTTATGATGAAAATCTATGTTCCGTAGAGTTAGGAAAAGAAACCATTTGCTTTGATAAACCCATTTACATAGGGTTCACCGTATTAGAATTAAGTAAATATCAAATGTACGATTTTCATTACACAATTATAAAGAATTTCTTCCAAAATAAAAAAGTGAAGTTAATATATTTAGATACTGATTCATTTTTCTATTTAATTTATACTGATGATATTTATGATGATTTTAACCATCCAGATTTGAAAAAATACATGGACATGTCGGACTATCCGAAAGATCATAAGTGTTATTCTTCACAAAACAAGAAAAAACTAGGTTGTTTCAAAGATGAGTGTAATGGTATTGTAATTATAGAGTTTATAGGACTTAGGCCTAAGTTGTATACATTTAAAACTATGAATGATTTTTATTTAGAAATAGAAAAACGAATGTCATTGAAAAAAGCAAAAGGTATTACCAAAACTGTTGTAAAAAAACATATTACCTTTAACGATTATAAAAATTGTTTGAATAACAATGTTAAAATTAGGAAAAATATAAGGGTTTTTAAATCCACAAAACATAACATACAAACAGTCACCATAAATAAAATAGCGTTAAGTGGTAACGATGATAAACGTCATATCTGTGATGACGGAATCAATACACTGCCTTATGGGCATTATTCTTTAAAAAAACAAGATGACATTTTTCCTAAGTAAAAATATACTTCAATTGTGAGTTTTAAATTTGTAATAGTGATTCCTGTATAGTGAACCCTATGTAATATTATGTATATTTCTTATTTTATATTAATACAAAAGCGATGTAAAACAGGTACTCTCTATATGTATTGCATGTATTATGAATTGTATTGTTGATTAGAGTAGGTAACAAAAAAATATACTCATTATACAAAAAAAACTGAATTAATTTATTCACCTTCTTTACATTATTTTCTTTACAATTCCCGAAAGGGGTGAATACTGAATCAATGCATCATAAATTATTAAACAATAAGCTGTGGTGTTTTCTGGGAAGGCTGTAGAGGTTTGCAATTCGAGTCTGACGTCCAGTGTACCAGTCTTCAAAGTGTCAACTTGCTTTGAACAATCGATTACAAACATTGGTGATTTATCAATGAATGTCTTTTTATCCAGACAGGGTTGGTCATCGCTCCCAACGTAGTAAGATGATTGGAATCTTGAATAAAAATCATACAACAAAGCCTGATTTCCATTGAGATTATCATAGGGATAGTATTTACTATTTAAATACAATTTAACATTGTCTAAAGCACATAAATCAAAGTGTGAAGCATTTTTAGCATTTTGATCCTTTCGTCCTGTTTGAAACGCCACAATAACATATCTCGGCTTTTCTATCATGCTAGACGTTTTTACAGTCCAAGTTTGAAATTTAGTCGTTGGGAGCGATGGATATTCATGTAATTGCCACCTTCTGAATGGAACTTGTAAATAATTGTCTGAATCAGTCATCTTTAATAGTGACAATCTCAATTCATCTTCAACTCTGATATATGGCATCTTCCAAATTAGTTTTTCAATTACAACTTTACAATCATGAATGGCAGCGCTAGCTTGGAATATTGCGTTTTTGTCTGTTGACGAGCGCAGCAAGACAAGTTCTTGTTTTACGTTTAAAAGAATCTTTGTGTAGTCTTCTGCAAAACCTAATAATAATTTAAGTGGAACACAAAATGAAAACTTTGACTTGTCCTCTTGGTTATCAAGACTTGTGATGTTCCAACCAGCGTTCTTCATCCAGTTGGCGTCTTCAGGACGAGACGTAAGTATGTTTTTTATGGTTGACGTTATACCTAGATTTTTTACACGATCAATTTCAGTACCACATAATTCGTATCTTATTTCTTCGAATAAAAATGCCGCGGCGTTATTTACCAATTCCGTTGTTGTGTCTTCGCTGTTATTTGATTTTACTACTTTACCCTCGATCAGGAGAAAACTCTTACAAGGCAATGTGTACACGTCTGTCTGATGAACCGGTATCCTAATTTCATCTCCATTGAAATAGGAATTTGAATTGTAAGGATTATGAGAATGCCACTCGTAATCGGTAATAGATTCGTCAAAATTGACTTCCCTTTTGATATCTAATATACCACTCATTGTTACACTTTTTTATTAAAAACTGGTAGGGAGCTTAAAAATATCCTATTTCTCAATGTTAACGGTTTGACCACTCGTCTCTGACTAATGCCACTTTCTTTCAATGGCAAACTTTTATTAGTAGGTTTGTAATTTGCACAATGAAATACAATACCCATTATTTACGTCTTAAATACACTCTTATATTTATTCGTTCTCCTCTAAAATTAATTAATTCTCCGTTCTGGTCTTCCAGTCTTATATAAAATTCGTCTAATGTATTTTGTTTGGTTATTGGGAGGTAATGAACAGTCGTGGGTTTCTCAATAATCTTGAACCCTGGACCAACGTCCGGATAAAATTCGTGCAAAACGTGGCCTTCTGCACCGTCTCTGTAAGATCCTTTTACTATGTTACAAGTGACTCGTATGATATCCACTTTGTTAATGGTTGCTTGATTCGGTGACACGTGAAATTTATTTGCAGCCAATTTCTCATTCTTGAAACCTAGAAGTTCTCTAATAGTGTTTTCACGTGTAAAGTCTATTTCTTCTGAACATTTTAGTTCACTCTTCAACGTATTATTATTGGCTGTTAATTTAAAATTGGTGTTAGGACTTTTAGTTTTCAATTCGTTTACTATATAATTGTTAATATCTTCGATTTCGTACGATCCTGTTGGTATGGTTAACTTAATATCGTTACCAAAATAAATATCACTGTTCACACCTTCCTCAATGTTTGGTATTGAGTTGTAAGTCATTAAATCCAATAAACCCATTTCCCACTCGGACGAAGGGCTCAAGTCTAAAGGAGGAAACAGTGTACACTTCAATGAAGATTTGTCGCCCGTAAGACATATCATTTTCGAGTGTTAAGAAAATCCAAACACAAATGACCGCAATTTACACTGTTACCTTTTTGTTTGGGGAAATAATTGTATTTCACAATGACTTGATATGGTGATGTATTGAAATAATGTATCAGTTCGTTTGGTGGTCTAAGATTGCCGTAACTATCGAAGTATTCGATTAGGGACTTGACTTTTGAATAACACACCCAATGAGTTCCCACACCTAATATACTGTCCAAGTTTACAATACCGGTCTCGACATCGTTTACAAAGCTTGGCAACAAATCTCTCATGAATACTCCTCTGAAATTTGGAATTTTCAATTGTTTTACTATTTTAAAAATCTCAGCTGCTGTCAAAGGTTTGCGTGGTAAATTGTCTATTATTTCTGACGAGTACATTGTTTTTTTTTATGTCCAGACCCTTGTTTGTATGGCCTCAAGTACAACCCGGATCCCTGATTGTATGGTCTCAAATATAATCCCTTGCCTTTCTTGTTTTGAGACTTGGGTTTTTTACTTACTCGTCGTACCGATTGTTTTTTCTTTGTGCTCAATTTATTTCGGATAGGGGCTTTCCTCTTCCCTCTCTTTTTACACACGCAACCTCCTCCACCCAACTTTGATTTCGCTTTCATAATATTGCTAATAGCCCAAGCTGTTGCTTTTTCCCCAATACTTGAATCACTCGCTTTAACTCTTTCCCAAGCTTTGTCTGCTAAAATCCTATCTGCCACCGCTCTACTTTTGGTATCTTTGCTCTTTGCGTAAGCTATATCGTGTTCTTTGCAATAAGAGTCTAATTTATTAATTCCCGGATCACCACGGGCCAGTCTCTCCTTCAAATGTGTCCCAGGTCCACAGTAGGAGTAAGAAGAATTAATACCTGTCGGCACGTGTAGTTCAAATGGTAATAAATCGACGGTCTTGTTAATGACAGTACCCGCTGCATTAGCTAGCGTACCAATTAATCCCGAACCTCTCTGTCGACTGAGTGAGCTATTTTGAGACCGTGTCATTTATGTTTGTTGCTCACTCAATCTATTCGTCACACTCAATAGACTTTCTGTTAACACTTTGAGAGCAGCGTTTGTCTGTTCTCTCGAAGAGCTTAACTCCGTCTGAAGACTCGACAAACTGTTGTCTATTTTACTAAACTTTGAGTTCAGCGCTGATACAGCAGCGTCTAATTCCTTTCTTATAATAACATCTTGAGTATTTATACTTGGATTCACACTTACAAGTCTCTTTTTACCTTTAAAACTAATATAATTCTTTTCCACATCGATAGCTTCTAAAAGCTTGGTTATATCTCTTAGAGACTTTATCTTTTCTTTTAAATCGAGTTTAAGTTTATTTAATCGCTCTTCAAAATAAACTAAAGTCACAACATCTTGCGAATCAGATGGATTGGCGACATTACACAATTTTTTATTTTCTAAATCAAAATTCTGTTTGTCTTCAGTTAATTTAAATCCAATCCCTGTTGGTCCTTGGAGTAATTTCGCTTTGACACCGCCCACTATTAACTGGGAGCGTCCAAATTTATCAATAGGCATGTTTACACTATGGGGTTAAGAAATGAAATAACAAACATGTACAAATTTATTTTATTTTATTTGACTTACAACAATTGAGATTCCATTTCTTTTAACTCTTCTAAAATTGCGTTGATTTCATTTTCGTGTCCTGTGTGACCGGCTTCTTTTGATCCCATCAACACTCTAAGTCTGTTCACGATTTCATTGGGGTCGTCATAGTAGATAATATTCGGCTTGGCATCGGTGAGCAAAATACCGCTTCCAGTTGGATTGTTAATCGACAGTTGATCTGTATATGTATCCATGGCGTCTTGCGGCGGTCCTTTAACCAATATTTGAGATATAATATTCTTATACTTACGGCCTCTATTTGATCTGATCTTACCCGTTGGTGAGAAATTTACTCGATACACATTAGTATCGAATATGATTTTTGCATAGTTATCAAGATCCTCTTCACTGTAAATATATTCATCGGGGTTGTTCATAAATATTAATTCGTAAAGTCCTCTAGTTCCAGTGTACCGTTTATCACCGATAATTAAATCATCATGGTCAACTTCCAATTGTTTATCACCAATTTTCCAATCATTTCCTTGAACCGTCACTCCATAATTGTGATCAACACTCTTGAGACTGCTTATTAATTTTGAGAAATATTCCTTTGCCAACTTTCCCGTAAAATGACGATTGATGTAGAGCTTAGACAGATTTCTTCCTTCAGGAGTTCTCAATAGTTCTTCACCAGTCGGTTGTGACTCAAAAATCTCGACATCAGGAGTTATCTCTTCGGCTTGAGATTCCGTCATTTCTACGTTTTCCACTTCTATTGGAACGGTCAACCTCTTATTGCTCTGATTTTCAATATTCAAACCATCATCACTATCGGAATTGCTGTTGTAGCTGAGTTGTTGACGTAAATTTACTTTTTTCTTCCTTTTAACACCTTGAGGTGGGTTGAGTATCTTACGTTTAATTGGAGTAGACAATTCTCCAGTAATTGGACTATCCGTTAACTTCCTCTTTCGTTTATTTTCAATATTTTCAACAAACTCATCATTGGCTATACTTGTTTCTTCAACTAATTTCTTTAGCGGATCCGCTATGGGTTTGAAAGTCTTTTCTAATAACTCTTCACCTTCGACTATGTCTCGTTTTAACGCTCTATGTTTTTTCTTGATATTTTTACGTAGTTCACTG